GACTTATGATGATTTATTAAAATCGATAGCTTATAAATAATTCATTTATTTAAATTTTAATCATCCTTTGTTTCGCTAAGTTACTGAATGAGTTTGGTTAAGAGGAAGAAATTTAAGTTTAAAATAAATGAGAAGTCTAAGTAATGATTAATCTCCCAGAAAACGTTAATTTTAAGTCAGTCTGAACATATCTATTGTTTTCAATCAGAACACATTTATCTATGTCAAACTGTCTGTCTGCCTATCTATCTATCTATCTATCTATCTATCTATCTATCTATCTGGTGTAACAACAAAATTTTCCAATTCGTATAAGAGTATAATCGTCCATCCCACAAAATGTTCAATATCTAAAACCACTAAACTAATTGAATTTTTTTCCAGGTTTTCAGATGAGACGTTTAGCCATTTGTTGCAAGAATCAATGAAAAATCCTTTGAGTTATTCAGATAGAAAGTGAAAAGGCTAAAATCCTTTTGTGTCAGATCCACTGTCTTCCGAACTGAGCAGTGGTGAGAGGAAAAAGATCATTCAGTCCTTCAGTAATGATACCAACATTCATACTCTAGCATCCATCTTCAAAGTCCATTCAAGAACCATCAAGAGAACGGTGAATAATTTATAAAAAAAGAGGGAACAGTAGAGAGGAAAACTGGATCAGGAGGTCACAACAGGAAGAGGGATCATCATTTCAACTTAGAGCTAAAGAGATCAAATAGAAAATATCCAATTCAATCCATAAAACAGTTGGCACGTGAGAGAGGAGTTTCAGCTACGACAGTCCAAGTAACCATGAAAAATGACTTGAAAATGAAATCGTACGAAAAACGAGTGAGGCAACTTGTTACTCTAGAACAGAAAGTTAGAAGGTTAGAGAGGGCGACGATCATCTTTAATAAGTTGGAAAATGATCCTGAATAATATATATATATATATATATATATATATATATATATATATATATATATATATATATATTAAGTTTATTTGAATACATCAGAAGATTCCAATCATTTACTATGATTAATTAATGGTGAGTATGTCATTTTCGTTTATGATTGATTTCATCACGATTCTTCTGTTAAGCTTAGAGAGTCATTATACATTCTTATTTCTCAAAGTAGAATCCAATAGTGTTATAAAAATTCCAGTAAGATATCTTTAATCATTTCCAGTAAGATATCTTTAATAGTTTTAAGATACAACGGTTCAAAATTTAATCTACCAAATAGACAATTTTTATTTTTATACGATTTGGACAATTTTGCTGTTACAACCGGTTTATCAGTCATTTTCATATCTATCTATCTATCTATCTATCTATCTATCTAATTCAATCATTTGCATATCTATCTATTTCAATCATTTGTGTATCTATCTATCAATCTATCTCTCTCTCGATATGTGTGTGTTTCTATCAGTCATTTTCATATCTATTTCAGTCATTCCCATCTATCTATCTATCTATCTATCTACTTGCATATATATATACATATATACATATATATATATATAAATACATATATATTTCAGTCGTTTAATATCTATCTATCTATATATATATATATATATGTGTGTGTGCATATATATATATATATATATATATATACATAAATATTTCAGTCATTTTAATATCTATCTATCTATCTATCTATCTATCTATCTATCTATCTATCTAATTATGATCTACTCTATGACTCTCTGGTAACTGATCTTCTTATGTTTTTCCCCACTTTTCATAATTGGTTTGACGAGTAAGGAATAGCCATTGTTTCGAATGCCAGTTTCCAAGGCAAACAGGCTCTTCCAATTTACAAATCTGACTCAGCACAACCTTCTCCACCAGTACGTCGTTATTCATTACATTTCTGCATTGTAAAATTGACAATAACCACGATATAAATATCTTAGTTTGTTCTCATCTGTCTGCTTATCTACCACTGTATGAACCCCTAAAAACATACCATTCCAACGAGTTATAAAAGAAACACCTTTATCTTTTATACATTATAGATATGTATGAGGACTATTCTGGTACAAGGCCAGTTGAAACACAAAAATATTGTAGGATGTTAATTTTCTACTGGACGGAGGTATGTGTTTTGATGTTCAGCTTTCGAAATCCTGTCTGTTCAATTCAAACACCGACCCCTGTGCCCGTTGCTCATTCGTTAGGAAGTTAGAGTTCCGACCCGGGTTCGAATCTTGTCATGGTTGATTTGTCAGTTTGGAAATATCTTGATAATATCAGCCAGAAATGTATTTACGGTCTGCTCAGTATGGTTGCAACCACAGCTTGGCACTGTGGGTGTTAAAGAAACCTGAATAAGTGTTTAGCTCCCCTCCCATATACTCAGAAACTAACAGCCAGGCGTTAATTTTATGTGATGTGGCACAGATGGTGAATATCCAAGCAGATAACAGTCAACAACGATAAAATGAAAATAGGTGGAGCGGGTTTAAATTGCAGCTAAGATAAATAGCGTTCATTTCGCACTAATGCCCTCGGAAAAGTTATCACTCCATTCTCCACCCTGGCAGACTGGACTCTGTAGATTTTGCTGACAACCAGTATACATTAAGTACCATGTGTTTTCTCTGGCATCTTAGTGTCTTTTTGCAGGTTTGAAATTATTAAAAAAAAACAGTGAAAAGGCGCACAGATGCTTTTGGAAAAGACATAAGTCCATTTCATCTCTGCCACTCTAGCTATGGATTAAATAGCATAGTAGATTGGTTTTTAAAGAATTAAGTAACAAGCAGTCTAGAAGGACAATTCTGAAACGAAGAGAAAGCAACGGGAAACAACTCCACTATTTCTTCCAAGAACAATCATAGCAATTCACAGATAATAAAGAAAATGAATCTGTGGAGATTCATGATCGCCCACGTCCTGAAAGACATGGCATTTACAAAACTATTTCTGTAGTTTTGAAAAAATAGTTCAGGGACCCATTGCACACACTTAAATAACTGGTGTATGTTAATGTGAACCATGATGTGAAACTGATGTAGAATTGCTTCTTCTTCTTCTTCTTCTTCTTCTTCTTCTTCTTCTTCTTCTTCTTCTTCTTCTCCGCCTCTTCTTCCTCCGTCTTCTCCTCCTCCTTTTCTTCCGCCTCCTTCTCCTCCTACTCCTTTTTCTTTTCCTTTTTTTTCTTCTCATCCTCCTGCTCCTCCTTCTCGTCCGCCTCCCCTTCTTCGCCCCTTTCTTCTTGTTTTTGTTCTTCTCCGCCTCCTCCTTTTTCTTCTTTTCGTTTTTCTCCTCCTCCTTCTCGTTCTCCTCTTCATTTCCCTTCTTCGCCTCCTCCTTTTTCGCTCCTTCTTCTTCTTCTTCTTCTTCTTCTTCTTCTTCATTATACAGGCGATCAAGGCATTCCCCAACTCCCTATCTTTTATCTTAATGTTTGTCGTTTTATTATACCTTTCACTCCCTGTTCTGACATTCATCGTTTTCTCACCAATGAAATAATCGAAAAAGAAATTAAATAAAAACATCTATTTGGGCCTTTTTTTAGGAAACCGGTTTTATTACGACACTTAACAAAATAGTGTTAGCCATATCTTCTAGCTGACACGTCATTTGCATGAGCCTAGGCTCTACCCTCACCACCTTAGCAATAAGAAACCTAACATAAAAAGGAAAATACTTTAAACCATAGCTGACAGGAGTAAGAAATAACTTTTTCAATTCGACTTTTATTGTACCTTTATTTTTATTAGTTTCATATCAACTCAATAGACTTTGAACTGCATCTGATTTCAGGGACTATATAAGCTTATAGTTAGAATTCCGCCATCAATATATTTTCCTCCTTACATACAAAAATGGAACATTAATAAATTTCAATACATTTTTCTGTATACCAACTGTTTATAATGCTGAAAAGCATAATGTTTGCAGATAAATAAATGTGTTATTTGTCGATGTAAACTTGTTTTACCAGTCAATTACAAATATCCGAATATCATAACCCAGCAAGGTCTAATAGTCAAACTTAGCGGATGGACTCCAAACCCTCAAAAGTTAGTAGATTTTTTCCACTAAAAACCCAGCAAAACGTACTGAAAATCCCGCAACACACACACACACACACACACACAGAGAGAGAGAGAGAGAGAGACGCGCGAGCGCACACACACACAAACGAACAAACAAATAACATGCAAATGGCGAATGTATCAATTTAATTCATCATTCTTTGAATACATCATAGCAGGTGGGGAAAAATGACTGACATATGACAATGTTTAACGCAAAAGGCATTGGATTGACAAGCATAAATATACATGGTACAATCACTTAGAATAAGCTAAAAAAATATAGTAGATCTTTATTGTCAAGAACAAATGAGGTGTGAAGATTTGCGCCAAAAATCTCTGATTTAATCAACGGGAAGTGACTGTTTCTAAAGCAGGGGTCTAAATTCAATGACATAAAAGTGCCATTAATTGCTAAAGGAGAGGTCCAGGGAGCCATAAAAACCTCCGTACAAGTGAAAGAGGGAGGGGGAGTGTATCTGTGAGAGAGAGAGAAAGAGAAAGAGAGAGAGAGAGAGAAAGATAGAAAGAAGGGTGAAGGCAGACAGGCAGTCAGGCAAGATTTCGTACGTATTCAAACCGTTCGTGTTTATTAAGTACATATTTAAAAAAGCAAAATTTAAACGTAATTTTCAAAAAAAGAATCATCAATTTTCTAAATGTTTCTTTTTTTTTTTGTAATGATTGATCCGTTTTCTGTGGCTTATCAACCCTTTGCAAATTATTTAAAGCGAGAAAATATTTTGGATTGTGAGAATTTGGTGGGCGGGGGATAATAATCATTTCGTGATACGCGTCTTACTAATTAACCCATAGCTGGGAGGAGAAGAGGTGATTTCATACTTTTTCCAGAGGTATTAGCGCGTAACTGACTATAACGAACCCAACTGGAATTGGAACTTAGCTCTCCAATTAGCAATTCCTAACCATTATCAATTACAGCAACCAGATATCCAAACTTACAGCACCTGATATTTCCATGCGGTCACCCATCTTTGTACTGACCAGGCCCGATGTTGCTTAACTTCGTTGATCGTACGAGAATCGCTGTTTTCAACGTGATGTGGCTGTAAATCCCTCGTGATTTTGAGGGACGTTTAGCAACCCTGTTTAACTCTGTCACAAAATATAAATATTCCCCCTTTTCTGGAAGAGTTCGGATCTCCAAGCAATTTTTTTTTTTTTTGTGATTGTTAAGCCTTTTTGTTTCAATTATATAATTTGACCAAAAAGAAGTCTTTCTTCCTAGAATTTTCAGTTTATTTAATATTTTCTCAAACCTCTCTCTAACATGATTTTCTGTGGTTGGGTTAGCTACCCTTTACCCCCCACCCCACCTTAATAAGAGATCAAATCTATTAGTCAACCAAACCTTTGCTAAGTACTCTGCTTGTCGACCTCTCTGCCTGGGGGTGGGTGAGAGATAATGGTTTAGGGATTCAAGTCTTACTAATTAATCCATAGCTGGGGTAGAAGAGGTGGATCCATATCTTTCCCCAAGTGACAATAACGAACCCAACCCGAGTTGGAACTCGGCTCTTCGATTAAAATTTCCGATCCATTATTCATTACACCACCCGCACATCCAAGTTTGCAGCACCTGTACTCTCAAGCAGTCACTCATCTAGGTACTGGTTGACTTTAAGTTCAAATAGGCGCTCAAGACATGCGGCCTGAGAGAGCATCCGTAAATCACAATTGGTAATAGTTCTGGATCCGATTGGAAATGATGGGGTATCACTTGTTTGGTTTTTAAGGCATTGAATATGACCAGCCAGTAAACTGAACTGTTAGAGCTCGGTCAGAGAAGAGATCAGCTGCCGATCTCTGGTCATCTCGAGTTTTGAAGGTGAACCCTTATATCATTGTATCATCAGCATAGACATTTACAAATGATTGGAGTATACTATTATTGCGGCCAAGTAAATGGATAAAAAAGTACAACAGAAGAGTATTACACGACTAGTGAGTGTGTGTCGTTTGACCCAGCGTTCAATCTATGCGCCTGTTAATATTTAACAGCCCCCACGAGGGATGTATGTGTCCCAAGGCCGAGTTTACCGTGGGTTCTCCGAGCCCGTAGGCTCGGCGAAAAATATTCCCTTAGAACCCGTATAAATGGGTTCAGGGTTTCCCGAAGGGCAAAGTTTCGTCCGGGTTCCTCTCTGCTCAAGGCAGATAGCTCGACAGTAATGAACAATCTTTTCGGGTATTCCCCCAAGGCCTTCTCTCCTACTAATCTTATAGTAGGCGGAACAGTCCAACATAGACTCTTTAGAGGGAGGACACCACAACAACTATAAAGCAGATCATTTATATAAAATATTAAGTGGGTTGGACCGAGAAGTGGGATGGCTTAACTTCGGTGATCCTACTGAAATCAGTGTTTTCTGTTTTTTGTCACGAAATATAAATAAATATATATTCCCACTTTTCTTGAAGAGTTCAGATCTCCAAAGAATTTTTTTTTCTTTGTGATTATTGAGCGTTTTTTTTTTTTGTATTTTTTTTTTTTTTGAATTATATAATTTTGCCAAAAACAAGTCTTTCTTCCTTGAATTTTCAGTTTATTTAATATTTTATCAAAAATCTCTTTCTAACATGATTTCCTGTGATTTGGGTTAGCTACCTTTTATCCCGTGTACCCCCGTCTCCACCTCAATAAGAGATCAAATCTATTAGTCAACCAAACCTCCGAATTTGCTAGTACTCTGCTTGACGACCTCTCTTCCTTCGGGCGAAGAGGAACTCAGACGAGGCTATACCTACGGGCAGAGTCTCGTCTGGGGAAGTAGACAGCCACCCGACCCCGTGTATGTTGTGTATATGGGAAGTTTTGCCCGTACGTACGCGCTCGGAAGACCCACGTTAAACCGACCTTGTGCTATATCCCCCATCTATGGGGAACACGGGTAAATACCGTGTTCAAATCTATTCCTTCTCTCGCTATAAAAAAAAATCTTCATTTTCTGTTTTGAGTGTAGTCTGTCGTCTCAATTGCAGCCCTCCGTCACTACGTGTAGCCAAATCTATTCTTTCTCAGCTAATAAATAAAACCTTCCATTCCGTCATGCCTGAGTTATTTGTAATCATTTCAATAATATTCTTTTCAAGACTGTTTTTTCGAAAGAATTACAATGTAGTAAAAATTGAGAAGATGAAACCGTCACTTCGAGTTCCTTTATCTTCTAAACCAAGATTAAGATTTCTTTTTAAGCAGGTCCTTCGCAAGTAGGACATTACAAAATAAAAAGTAGCTAAATCAGATATTAAGGTTTAAAGATTTTAATTTTGTTCATCATTTCGTTCCAAGCAAGGCGAGAAAAACCACTAAGACACAATGGGGTTACTGAGAGTTAAAGAAAGAGAGAGGACAATAAAATAACATGGTTCAAATAGACAGAAGGTGAGGATTGACACTGTGTTAAAATTTTTAAAGATCATAGTTGATAAGAAGCTGGAGAAGAGTTCAAGAAGTGAGAAGTTCGAGAGAAGAAGCTATTAGAATAGAACTTACAGTTGCATCTAGCAATTTCAACAGCAAAATTATGAAACCTACCAGCCAATTTAGTACTGCATTTAAATACTTGAAATTGTGGTACCAAAGAGGACAGCTTATCAGTACAATTACTTTGCAAATATTTATAGAAAAGGAACACGGAAACTACGTTACGGTGTTGGGAAATCGCTTGAAGTCGAGATGCCAGGTCAGGATCAATAACGTTGCAGATTCTTCATTCGGTTTTGTCAAGAAACTCTAGATATAAAACAGATTGACCAGACCAGATGTGGCAGCAATATAGGATGCACGGACGAATGGTACAATTATAAATGTTCAAGATCGACTCGAGGGTGGGTTGAGCATATAGTGAGCCGACTTTCCGAGCAGCAGACCTAGCAATTGATTCAATATACTCGTATCAGTGGATAATGTGAGACCGAGAAGGCGCAATGGGTTGCTCTCCTGGAGGTTAGCGTGAACCACGTTGATGTTAAGCAAAAAGGTTTCTCTAAGATGACTAAGAGAAAGCATTAAGAGAAAGCATATTGAGTTTTAAAGATTTAAATTTTGTTCATTATTTCACCGCAGGCAAGGCGATAAAAAAAAACCCAAAGGTGCAAGGAGTTACTGAGAGCGAAAGAAACAAAGAGTAAAATAAAACAACAGGATTCACGGAAACAGATGACTATTGGCATCGAATGTAAATTATTTAAGATCGTACGAAGGAAGAAGCTTGAAGAGCTTTATACAATCAAAGAGTACGAGAGAATAAACTGTGAGCATAAATTAAGGTTACCATTAGCAATTTCAACAGTGAAATTATGAGACCTAACTGCCAATCTAGTACTGCGCTTAAATTCGTTAAGTTGTGGTACTAAAAAGGAAAGATCATCAGAACAATTATCGTTAAAGTATTTATAGAAAAGGCACAGGGAAGTTACGTTACGGTGGTGAGAAAGTGACAGAAATGCTAGGTCATAACCGATAAAGTATTCTATTTATTTTATTTTATTTTTTTTTATCTGATTCTCTCATAAAATGAACTTTTTTTTTAGATCCTTCAAACATATTTTCGTTTTGCTTGTAAATCCACAATATGCTTGATCTTCGCTTCTATTATTTTCTGGGTGAAGACTTTTTCCCCATATAAGGCATAAAAATTTTAGAAGGTGATATTTCGGAAAAAAGGAATGGAAAATAAAATTTATTTTGAAAATTAATGGTATTATAGCCATTAATTTTCCAAATATTTTATTTTAGGTAAATGATATAGCTCAACTCAATAGTTTATCATATACTGAGGCCAAGAGGACAAATTTGGCTTTCTGTTTAATTCTCAGTTCCCGAAAAAGTAGAACGGCAGCTCGAACCACTTCAACCTTCCCACTATCTCCGTGGATGTTTTGTGGCAAAAATTAATGTATGAAAGAGATGAATTTGTCTTTGACAGAATATTTTTCCACTAGCATTCCAGATATGTTTTATTATAGTATTGCACAAGACGGTTGTTATGAATAATCAAGAGTGGTTATCCCTTGTTTTGTTACTCTCCTCTTTGAGAGGGCTATTTCTGTTTACTGGGACTATAAAAGGACACTATAGGCGAACCTTGTATTCTCAGTTGAATAAAGCTTTCTTAAAGACTCTACCTGCGTACTTTTGTCATTACGACGGTTACCAATCTAAACAGTAGAATTCCAGATTTTCTTTTACTTGGTAATCCTAAACGGTTACCAATCTAAACACCAGAATTCCAGGTATTCTTTTATTTGGTAATCCTAAATGTTTTCCAACCTATACACCAGAATTCCAGATTTTCTTTTAGCTGGTAATCCGAAACTGTTACCAATCTAAACACCAGAATTCTAAATTTTCTTTTACTTGTTAATCCTAAACGGTTACCAACTAAACACCAGAATTCCAGATTTTCTAAACAAAGAATAAAAAGTTTACTTTAAATAGTGGGCTATGTTTTCGACAAATAACTTTAACGTTGCTACATGTTTAATGTCGTTTAAGTGCCGTTTCGCAAAACAGTATATTGCTTTTTGTACAGTCTATTAACCTGAAACAGAAAAAGTAATTTTTAATCACTATTAACAGTTGATTTATGCAATAAAAATGAACAGAATTAAAAGACAACAAAGAAATGCACCAACCACGGTGATTGGTCATGAAAAACGCTGAAGAAAAAATAAACAACACAGAAAATAACAGAATGAGCTAAACGGTTATCGAGTCTCAACCATCTGAACACGATTGAGGAAAATAAAATTATTGTGCACTCTGTTAAAAAAGGAAACATGAAAAGAAAATACACGCGTGTCAATGAGACGAGTATATTTTTTTAACAAATAAATCATCTTCCATCTCCAACACAGTCATTCTGTTTACATAAGGAAGGTCTCTTTTGATTTAATAAAAATAGTTTCAAAGACTTTTAGATGGCAGCTAGAACGTGATCTGTACAAAAGAGAGAATATAACATCGCGGAAGGATGCTGCAAATTATGTGGTCGACCCTTTCTAATAAACTTCGGGACAGGTTGAATAATTTTCTTCTCTAGAAGT